GTGTAAAATCGGTTGACATGGTTGAACGGCAGGAGGACGTTGCAACTGTCGTTCTTCTTCTAATTCCTGTTCTAATTCTCGTTGTTGCTCTTCATCCAACAACTGTGCCAAACGTCGTTTTTTTCCACCGTATTTCTTTAGTTGTCTTAATACGGCTTGCTGAATTTGTCTTGACGAAGCATCACCCACATCCGCATATCGTAAGCTGTACATCTCAAATACTGTCCGTAACTCCTTGGGACTGCCGTACATGCGCAGAAGTTCGATTATTTCAGGTTCTAGGCATTTCTCGGCCAGTTCTTTCATCATTTCGTTTGTAAATACTTGCTGATTATCATTCCAATGGATCGGTTCAAATGCTGAAATCTTTCGTTGGAAACTGATACTCTGCGAAGCCCAATGGTGTAATCCATCCCAAGTTGCCTGCTGGGTATTCTCATAAACCCAACAGAGAATATCCATTACTCCCATAGGATCGTTGTTATTGACTTCTTCTCTATTCTCAACAGATATCTTTTTCTTCAAATTGAGAATTTGCTGATGAACTTCATGTGAACTCCAAAAGGTTAACGAATGACCACTGCCTAGTTTTCTCATGCGCATACATGCTTGAACGAAACGATCTTTAGTCAGACCATTTCCAAGTGTGACGGCAGCTCGGAAACCTTTCGGAAATTTGAAATCCGTTCCTCGAGTGTGAACATCGTCCAAATAGAAGATACAATGATCGAGTCGTTCACTAGCAGGTGATGTTTCGAATCGATGTTCATGATCCTGACGATCGCAGACAAAGATCGAATCAGATTTAAAATAAACCGCATAATCAATTCGATTTCTATCAGATAATGCTAACCATTTTGTAGCAATCTCTTTGTTGCTTCCATCAATAAATAATGCTCCGACGTCTAAAATAACATTGATTTTTAATTGATGAGTAACAAGTTGATTTAAAATCACGTCGGTGGATGCATTGATTGCTAACGATTGGTAATATTCATTCTCAGCTTTTAGTAAATTGTTGACAACGATCGCGTCAGTTTTTTGCAGTTCAGGTAAATCATCTTGACGAATATGAATCGGAAGAAGTAGTTGTGTATCATTCGTACCACTGAATCCTGTGATAATTTTCGATCGTGCAGATGAGGATAAGTCCCAGGCAGAGGAAACTAGTTTATGTGGGAATTGTTTTGCTTCCCGAGGAAATACAAAGTAGTTCAAGAAATAGTTGATCACTAACATGTTGTATCGTAAAGCCGGAAAGAGAAGTTGAGTTCGTTGTTGATAATCTTTCAGATTAACTCCTCGCCATTGCTAAATACTAGTCGGTATATCAGTTGCATTCTCGTACAGAAGCCATTGATCATAAATTGATGCAGGATCATTTTCATGATCATTTAAACGATCAAAACATTGAGTTAATTGCGAATCACTCAAGCCAGAATAATAGTAGGTCAGATGTGTCAAAACCAAGGCAACATCTGGATGACCGAATTCAGTTCTATCAGCTGCCACGTCTTTTGCACGATATGGGACAGCTAATAGACGTTTGAAAGCAGGATTGGGGTTAATTCCATAATTAACTCGGTAACGCTTTTTCAAAGCAACTAATAAGACTTCCGATGAGAGGAGACCGCGAACAACGAGGAATAACTGAATATCAAGGGGTGAATACTCATCAACATATTCGTCAATACAAAGATCAGGATTCAAAACCAACTCGGAGATATCGTCTCGTTGTTTCTGTCGGTGAGGTCGTGTACTAAGCCAATCGTCAGCGATCTTTTTACATAAAGTTGAGAATGGT